TAGTAAGGCCTATTGCTTACGTCATCGAAATATTTCAAAAACGTGATGAATAGTCAGATTGTAGATAGGGTGGGTGAAGATTGGTAAAATGCTAAGGTAAGTGATGACGAGTTGTCAGAGAGACGCTTTAAGGGCAAGATCTCGCATCTGACCACTTCTATGCACATTTGGAGCCAGCTAGGTACATTGATTGTTCGATGCGTATCTGTTATGTACTGTCGCTGAGTGAGTTATTCGAGTTTTCCCCGTCGCCAATTATGTTGTGTACTCGTCGAGTAGTTAATAGTCCTGACGCCGCGGAAAGAGAGAAATCAGAAGACCACCAGGTTTACGATGATACTTGTATTTTCCAGACAAGGAAAATAAATGTCACACAAGTGTGTGAGTGAAATGGTACGAAATGTGTGGAAACAAGTGTCCATTACAAAAGTATATATGAAAATGACTAATACACATGAACCAATGAATACCCAGTCCTAACATGATTGGTTGTAATGTCATGTGACAACAAGGTCATACATGTTTATTTAGTTAGTGGACAGACAGACGCATAATGTCAGTGTAATGGAATATCGATTCATATACATAACTCTTTGCTGAACACTTTTTCTTTTCATATACACATACCAAAATATAACAGACTGTCAAAAACAAAACACACATCATGTGGATACATATCAGTATCCTGCCTAAAAGGGTTGAAAATTATTATCACCTTTAATCAATCTCCTCCTTTGTCTTTATTATGTGGAATTAAATAAGAGTAGTAAGCGTATCTATGTAAACTTATGCGTATATAAATGCGATTGTGCAACTACTTTTGGAAATGAAATTTCCGAAAGCATAGTTATCTTTGCAAAGCATTTTGTTCTTTCCCCTCCTATGTCCTAATTGTGGGTATTTTACATGGATTGTGGCAACTGTTGGAGCTCGTTGCAGAGTTCTTTGCTGAAACGTAGTCAGTCAGTCGGTTAGATTACTCGATGAATAAAGATTAATTCATTGCTTTATTGTATGAGGGATTTCATCATGAGCTGACATCAGTTAGAGAACCACTCGAAAACCCGAGAGTACAGAACAGCTGTTTCGTCCTAGTTTGGGACTCTTCATCAGTACGCACTCCATCGGGGTTCGAACCCAGGACCTTCTGGTTACAAGGTGAGCTCGTAGACCATTGAGCCACTGGGACCCGATCCAATGGTCTTTGAATTCTAACTTCTGCCAGTTCATGACATAGCGCGACCACTTCGCAATGTCTTCTTCGATGGGTTACTGCCTCATCTTCAACCTACTGTACCCTACTGGTCACGGCTTCCCACTGGAACCCCAGGTCAACAGCCTGAATAGGGCCAGTCACTAGTGAGCATCAGATTAATTTTCAAGTATTGGTTTTGTAGGAATTTTGTTTGAAATCCTCCATTTAATCAAACAAGATCCCTGTAAAACTAATACTTGAAGACCATTCCTCTTTAAGCTTACGGTGACTGTTCAAAAGCACCACTCGTTTCTATGTTACGAATAAGTGTCAAGTATCCACGTGGTCAGGAATTTGACTCCATGGCCAATGAAACTCTTAAACATTTCTAAGCTGGTAAGAAGACTGGTTAAGAAGTGAGGTTAACCCTGAGACTTGCACCTTCATCACTGCTACCAAAACTTTATAGCTCCTAGCTTGAAGTATAACAAGTGTTTAGTAACACTTATGTGTTATCATTAAATGTGATTACATGTCTCATATGAAAAGGGATAATGAGTTATTTAGCAAAAAGGCACTTCTCGACGATTTTATTGATGTCATACTGTAGAATCCTTTATGATGGAGGTGATTAGTTGTTCAAGTGGGATAATATCTGCCTAGTTGTGTTCTATGAGCTTGATGGTTTACTTGTGAAGGTTTGATTGTCTTCCTAGGGAACATGTTTAGCTCAGTCTTCAGTTCAGAGAGTACAAACACGCCAATACAATCGTATAAATATAGTATTTTTTTGGTAATTGTACCCTTTGGTTAAATTTCAACAATAGTCTTTAATATTACTGCCTTATATCCCGAGTAGAACATAAGGCTTCAGCAATACACCACTGGCGGCGAGTGGTAGAATGCTCACCAACCACGGCTCATGTGGTTCGTGGTTCGATCCCCGGTCACAGACGCACTCCTTCACCTCGCTCACTAAACCAGTAGTAAGACTGGTAAAGAGGGAAGGTTGGTCATGAGGCTGGAGATCTCATCCCTTAAAATTAAATAACCCAGGTGCACAAACTTCAAGCCACTAACTTGAAGCATCCCTACGTTGTTGCAAAAAGATCGCTTCTCTGTGTCTTTTGCAGTCTTTTTAGGCGACCCTATGAGTGCCCATTTACTTTTATTGCCTTTTCACAAGGTATGCTTCATGTCACCTGACTTGTTATTTCTCATTTGGCTTCCATCCTACTTGAAGGGGTGTACGTGAATGCGTGATTTCACCCGATAACGGTCTCTTCAGGGTATATGTGCATTTCACGGCGTCGGTGGCACAGTGGTTAGGACTCTCGCCGACCATGCACATGGTCCGGGGTTCGAGCCCGCACCGACGCACACCTGATATCTATGGTCGGCCTGCAAAATTTGGGCTACCGATATCGCATGCTGAAAATTCCATACTTGTACCGAAAATACGGTGTGGAATCAAGCTGTAAATAAAAAATAAAAAAAAAATTCACTTCCACTTCTATATAAAATTGTTGGCCGATAGATTCTTGCTTGGTTCATTTTACAAGTCCCCTGTTACTTATCCTTCCCGACTGGACCATCTGATCTGATCTTCAATGTCGATCTCGTGAAGGTGGTAACTGTTCATCAAGGTTCGTACCTACATGGCTGTTGAAAATGCTTTTCCTCACGACGTGCACATCATACAGTAGAAGGACTGACTAACTTTTATATTTTAATGTTGTAGATCTGGACTTTCTGTGTGTACAGAAGACTTCAACACTCATTTCAGATTCATGCTTCTTCTATTTTGCCCTTGACATTCTCACACGCCTACCGTCTGTAATTGATCATAGACTTGTTGATATTTACTTAATCTGTTACTGCGAAACGTAGTTGGAATCGTGACCACACTTTATTTTCCTTCAATATTCCCTCATCTATTGTTATTGTTATTATTATTATTATTGTTTCTATCAAAAGCAGTTTGGCAATAAAAAAAACACAACGATAAAAACAAAAACAGTGCAATAGAGAAATATTTTTTTCTTTACCAAAGAATGAGATATTATTTGTTGAAGTTATTTTGAAATTCCAGCTGGCTGAACTAAAGTGCTCAGACTCTGTTTTCCTGACTGACTGACTGGTTTCAAGATAGAACTTTGCGCCGGTGTGAGGCAGTTCGCGTCGTCACACTTAGCACACAAAGCAAGGGAAGATAGTAAAAAGAAATGTAAAATACAGATAGTAAACGGAGATATGAGGCAGAAATAATAGTAATATGGAAGAACACTAGAATTTTATCGGATAAATCATAAGGAGTGGATGCATCTGCTCCGGTCATTGGGAACGATTTTAAGCCATATCACCAAATTTCTCCAGTCTTTATTGGTTTTTACCATCCCGACGACCCCAACCAGACAGCAGTCTACATCTGCCTACGTCTCTACCTGGCTTAAACTAACTGTTGTGTATTTCATTGACTGGTATCATGTTTTGGTCTGAACACTGGTAGCTGGCTCTTTTCCAGCCTGACCCTATGTTAGCTAACATTGCCCGTAACTCTCACACCAACCAACCATTCGTGGCTACCCATTAGAGTTACATTTGTGTGATAGCCTGCATTGTGCTCGATGTCATTCGATGGCATTCTCAACGTATGCCGCTGTTGAAAAAAGTTTGCAATGTCCTGTTTTAAATCCTTTTCGTGACAAGCAGTGTAAGTTTGTGACCTGCATTGAAGAACTGACTGACTGATTGACTTGACATTTCTGTTGAAAACCCCAATCTTGTTGTTTATACTGAGGCGGAATGTATAAGGTTTGGAAACTGGTTTCAGGTTGATGAAGGCGTATCTTGTCTTTACGATTGGGGCTAGCTGGTACTGACTTCTTTATCCGTTCTGCTGGTCTCTGGTGTAAGCGATGCCTAATGGGTGGATAAGTGACGGAAGTAACCTCTGTCAAATCTCTCCCGTTCATAATGATTGGTGCTGGGGGGGGGGTTGTTCCTGGTTGGTTATCTTCATTATCTACAGTCCTGTATTCTTTGCCTCTTCTGCCAGTTTGTTGGCTTTCGGCTGCAAGTCTTCGAATATGTGAGACATTAAACATAAACCATGCAGATGCGAAATCCAGTTTTTCTAAAGTCTTCTTGTCCGTCCAACGTATTTCTATCTTCTTGCTCCCTGTTCACAGCCGGATGCATATTCCAGTCAACCACAATTAAGAATATCTATGATGATAAGCAATCAGCTTGTCTTACTTCTGTATTCACTCCAAACGCTCTACTGAGTGAGTTGCCTGTGGAGGATCACCTGACACGTAGCACTATCATATAACCAGCTGTTGAATGAAGTTGATAAAGATTTGAGGCACTACATGCCATAGTGTTGAGGTAGTTTCTAAATTACTTCTCAGTCAACGCTATCTGTGGAAGGCCTTTTCGAAGTCGATGAAGTTAATATAGAGGTTTGACTGCCATTCTATCCTTTGTTCTGTGATGATGACGATGCGTAGAGCTGAGATTTGACCAACGCACATGATTCACCTTTTCTGAATCCAGTCAGCTTCTTCCCAGTTGAGTATTTTTAGCGTAACAGTCTTTCTATATGTATTTTTTGTGTGTTGAAGTTTCTGTAGCACTTTGATTGGTTTGGTAGTATAGCGTAGCTGGCCCTACGCTCAACCCCCCACCCCACGTCTCTTGACCTGGTCTTGGGATTATAGTTATTCAATTTCTTTCACTTTTATATATGTTTAACTTGTAGTTATCTATGTAATTAGTGCTTTATTGTATTTCCTCTCTTTAGGTATTCACTCAAGTGTCATATCACAGTCTGATACAAGTTCCACAGCAACACCACCAACAGCTCATCCTGTCAATGGTACTGTTATACCAACAAATATGATGAATGGTAATGGTTTAATTTATGCTACACCACAGCCTCAAAGAAATCATGTAAGTGAATACGACAGTCGTTTTGAATTTCCTCATAGTTTTTTATTCACTTCTGTGAGCAGTCGTCATCAATAGTAATGTGTGTGTGTCTGTCTGTGAGCGGTTAGAAAGTCGTTCTCCTACGGAATATCTGAATCAGTTAGTTTGAAAGTTAGACCCTCGAAAAAGTCTTCTTTATGTACCAGAAAATGAGCCACACTTGTTGTGTATTGAAGTTCAAACTGCTATCCACTTAGTTACTACCCCCAGGCTAAATCATGTGGAGCAGAATTCACAAATCCCTGATCCACTAACTGAACTGTACTGTTGAACTGTTAAGCGTATGCAAATAAATATATATGTATACTGAAGCGAATCATATTCGGTAATCAATTCTGTGCTGCCTGATTTAGCAATCAAAGTTCAAATTTTTTTACTCCATTGCATAATCTATTTATCTATAAGGTCAGTGGACAGACAGCATTGGGCTCCGAGTGGAATATGGGGCCTCAACAGAACATCTCTATTTCACCCTGTTCTCTGCTGTACTGTTTGACTGGCTCCACAATCACCCATAAACTATTGTCTCCTCGAACTCTCACGATTTCCTCCATGTCACACTTGGACACTTCAGTTGTGGGCCTGGCATAAGACGTCTCTCTCTCAGCGTGTGCTCGATCTATCACCGTTTTCGTAAGATTTTTTGAGCAATAAGTCCTTGGCTAGTTTATTCCCAGATTTTTTTTCGGCGCTAATTCCTTCTGGCTGGACATCTAATCTTTAGTATGACGCCAGTGAATTCTGCAACTGGCCGTTTGAAATGCTTTTCGTGACACGTTCGCCATAGTCCTGATCCGTATAGAAGTAGTGGCTGACTGGTGTTGAAAATCAGAATTTTGTTGTTTGTGGTCTGGTGGGATGCAGATTTTCAAGCTGATTCCGGAATGATGAAGGGTTGGTCTTGCCTTTCTGTGCGTGACGGGTTTCGACATTTTCATCGATGCTATTGCATCTAGTTGAAACGATGCTGTCTAGCTAGATAAGGGAAGGAAATGATGTCTTTTAAATTTCTTACATTACTATTGATTTGTTGGTTACTCTCATCATAGTGTCTTTTATATGCTCATTTAAAGCTTTACCTTTGCTACTTCTTCTGATAACTTGTTTGGTTTTCGCATGTGATTCTTCCAATTCATCTGGCACTAGATATAAATCGTCCTTGAAGTACGGATCTTCTAGAGGCTTTTGTCTTCTCTCTCCCCTTGTGGTCTTCCGAGTGATCCAGTCCACCACACAGTTACTAATATCATCCGTGAGGATACTAGGCAGACAGCCTTGTCTCACTCCTGTCTTCCCTTCAAAGTCTTTGTTGAGTTTTCTTTGTGGATCAGCTAACATATGGCAAGAAACGACTAGTGATTACATACTTTTGAAGAGTTGAAATGGTGTCATTAGGCTTCAGAAATAGGTAGACTGGAGGTAAGGAGTTTACTGTGATTCTATGCTGTGTTCTTTTCGATTGGCAATGTTTGCACCTGAATCTAGCTTGTTTTAGGCAGAGTTTTACATTGAAAGATAATGCGACTTAATTTTCAACTTTGATTGGATAGGAGCATGATTCAGCTCCCCTTCTGACAAAGTCGCCTTTCTTTTCGCTGGTTATATAACAAGGTATCATTTCTTTAAATCAATATGTACCTTTCATTGCTTTCTAACCTTCTGCAATAATGGCGTAAGCAGGTAATCAAATTCAGTTAGATAATGCATAGAGACACCTTAGCCGCTTGTATTTGTCTGTTTTGAAATAGTTCACGAAGATACCGACGTGTTACGGTGTGAATAATCAACTCAAATTTTCACTGAACCTTTGTATTTCTCTGTCTTCTTTTTCATCCTTTCACTTACTCTCTCTGTCTCTTTCTACTTCTAACAGTATTTTGTATCTATCTATCATTAACGGTCACTGTTGAGTAAGTCGTACTATCGATTAGAAAAAGGCAAAAATGCATTCTTACCAGTTGATCACGGATTGATATCAGTTAGAGAACCATTGAAAACCAGGGAGTATTGGACAGCTGTTTCATCCTAGTTTGGGAATCACCGGCAGTACGCACCCACCAACAGGGTTCGAACGCAGGAGCTTCTGGTTACAAGGGAAGCTCGTAAACCATTCAGCCACTGGGACCCGATTCAATGGCCAGCCGATGAATTCTAACTTCTACCAACTCGGAATTCAGCGCGACCCCAACCGTTGTCGTGACATTTGGATAGACCTCAGTGGTCACGACCTCTCACTAGAACTCCAGGAAACTCCATCCTGTGGCAAGTCACTAGCGAGCATCAAAAAAAGAAATGCATTCCTTTTTAACCCTTTAAAGGCACATCAACTTTTATTTCTACGTAAAATTACAATTCACCACATCAGTTTTTAATTCTTTATTATTTGACACATTTTTGTGTTGATAAAGTTCGGTCAGTCTTAAGAATTTGTGAACTTTTATCAGTCTGGTGACCGACTTGTCTCTAGTACAATCTCATTAAAATTAAGGTCAGACTTAATTAAAAAGAAGTTATTTTGACAAGCTGAATTACTTTTTTCACAGAAGGCCTACCTATATTTATTGTTCCCTTGGGTTTCTAGTAAAATGTAGGGCTTCCTTCAGCAGTGCATTGCTATTTCACTTTCTACTCTACAATCTTTTAGTTGCTTCCAAAATCGCTCATAAATTTCCTCCTCCACATCCCCTCCTCTTCACATTTGAGCATGTCCGACTTGCGATGTCACTCAACGGTCTCCACAGCGTTTATCCTGTCCATTTCATCCGGGTGAAAAACGAGCTCATCGACCATCCCGCGACTGTGACTTGATCCAATGACCATCCCATGAATTCCAACTTCTGCTAATTCATGATATGTATAGGGCAATCTTCAGCCAGTGTCAAAGGCTAGTAAATGACTTCTTACCTGACTTCGTGAGCCCTGCTGGTTAGACTCCTCACTAGAAATACAGGTAACTATTGTCTGTATAGAGACAGTCACCAGTGCTAAAAAGTTCCAAACTAGACTGAAAGAGTTGTCGAGTACTCCTTTGTGATTTTTCAGTGCTTGTCTAACTGACATCAACTCGTGCACCTAAATCTGTAACCAATCGAATCACCTCAAATCAAGACTTGACAATCTTATCCCTTGTGTCCATCTTCAGTTACTGATGAAAGTTTGTAGTAAGTAGTCGGTTGGAAATGCTCTTCGTGACAATTTATTCCTCTGAAATATATATATATATATATATATATATATATATATATTTGATTACAGCTTGATTCCACACCGTATTTTTGGTACAAGTGTGGAATTTTCAGCGTGGATATCGGTAGCCCAAAATTCGCAGGCCGACCATAGATATCAAGTGTGCGTCGGCGTGGGCTCGAACCCCGGACCATAAGCATGGTCGGCGAGAGTCCTAACCACTGTGCCACCGACGCACACTGCCTAACTTAACTATTAGTGTTGAGAATTTGGATCTTGTTTTATATGCTGAGCGCTGTAGCTTTTTTCACTGATTTCTGTCCTGCTTGTCCGATACTGCATTTGATATCCTCATCCTCACTAGTAATAATAATGATGTTTTTTTCAGTAATTCGCAATAGTAGACAAACAATAAATGCACAAATTCAGATGAATCTCTTTTTCTAACTTCATTTGAATCATAAGATTACATGTATTGCATTACTTACTAAATGAAATATACTTTTAATGAACTCGATTCCGATCGAACGAAACAGTCATTGACTGTTCTGATCACTTCTATCTCGTTATCAAGTACTACTGGTTTGTGTGAGTCATTTTCAACCACTCATACTAATGTTGTATGTGCTTAGGTGTCTTTTCTTTCAAGTATTGGTTTGTAGGGATTCTGTTTGATTGCATGGAGGATTTCATCATGAGCTGCCATCAGTTAGAGAACCACTGGAAAACCTGAGAGTACTGGACAGCTGTTTCGTCCTAGTTCTGGACTCTTTAGCAGTATGCACCCGGGGTTCGAGCCCAGGACTTTCTGGTTACAAGACCAGAGAGCTCATAGACCATTGAGTCACTGGGACCCGATCAAATGGATCTTGAATTCTAACTTCTGTCAGTTCACGACATAGCGCGACCATTTCGCGTTTGAAACTATGGGCACTGGGTTCGAGCCTCGGTGGGAACATCACCACTCACTGAGAAATGCAGGTACATTCAGTTAACTGACGAGCCCCAAATGGGACGAAATGCGCATCCTAGATTCTACTGCTAGTAACCATCCACCAATTAAATGCTAACTAAATGCCCAGACATCGTCGAAGCATCTGCACAAGAAGCCGACATGTCAACTTGAGACCGAGCACGTCGGTCCAATCAGTCGATGGGAAAATCTCAAATTCAATTAAATTCAAGTGTGATTGCTAAGTAATCTTTCTATTTATTATTATCATAAACGCGTATTCGTGTCAACAGTATAGTCTTTATGTTTATTTCTTTAACAGAGGGTGTAGAGGATAAGCACTTTAGAAAAAGAAGGACAGAACTTTTCTGTTTACCTGAATGATATATGATATGATGTTTTGGTTAATTTAACCTTAAAGCAAATGTTACTATTCTTGGTGTTGCTTTCACTAAATTTCTTTGTTCTATTGTTTCTTCTAATTGACTATAATAAGACTGAATGATTCTTGAAATTATGAAGTGAAATAGTACAGATGAGCACAATTCCCTGGATAGAAAAGTAACCTGAGTAGTGGTAAATATTGACACAATGATATTCAGGTTGCAAACATATACACATTCATATATCTTATTGATTTGCAGAAATCAACTGCTTTTTAACCGGAGAGGCAGAGAGAGAGAGAGGGCACAAACTTTAAGTAAACATGCTATTCTCCACATCAAAGCAAAATACTAAGTCATGTCATCCTGCCAGTAGGGGTTGGTGGTATAAAAGATGCACTGGATTCAGAATTCCACCACCCACTCGCGGAACAAGTTGG